TGTTTAAAAAGTCCCCCCTTTTGCAGGACACAGACTGTTTTCCCAATGCCAGCCACTCCCTTTGTCATCAGTGTACGGATTGGTTGATCTCTTCCAGGTGGGACTTTAAAGATGTCTTCTTGTCTGATTGTTGTTTCTGCTCTTCCTGGTTTCCTGGATGCTGTTTCAATCTGTCTGACCTCATGTTCATCATTGACCCCCCCAGTCCCTCCCTCTGTGATGTAGAGCTCTGTGTAGATCTGGTTCAGAAGGGTTGGACTTCCTGCTTTAGTGATTCCCTCAAACACAGACTGGAACCTCTGCTTCAGACTGGATTTAAGTTTATGTTGACAAACTGAGCCAAAAAGCTCTGAAAGGTTAAAGAATATCATTAGTATCATAAGATTCCTTTCAATAGATTATTCTTTCTTTCTGCACTTCTGACTGAAATAAAGTCATAATTTCTCCATCAGGTTAAATCTCTGTAAAAATCTTCTTACTGCTCTGCAGACGTTCAACCAGCTCCTCCTGTTTCATCCTGCTTAGGAAATTCAGTGTGATCTTAACCAAAGCCCTTCTGCTGCTCCTCATATGCTCCTCATCCTTCCACTGACTCTCTAAGCCTTCTGGTTCATCTGCACTCAGAACCTTCTGGATCTTCTTCAGTTCCTTCTTCACAAAACTAACAATGTTTTCCTCCACCAGCTGAACAGAAGAATACACGAAGGACACATCAGACTGAGATCATGGAGCCAAACATCAGATCCATGTTGGACAGACTGACAGTCCCATGGAGAAGTAGTTGTAGTTCATGTACAGACCATAAATATGGAGTCCAGCTGGGTTTGATGCTGCTGGGTAGATGGATCACTGGGAACCTCTGAGTTCTGCTGGTCCACTCTGTAGAGGAACCAGGAAGCGTTAACTCACATTCTCTAGAACAAACAGAAAAAGGCCAAGGTCCTTGTGGGGTCCTGATCCAAAAGCTATAAATGGGGACACCCGTCACCAGAGAGGAAGCTCCTACCTGATCAGAGTTTGGATTTTTGATGCTCAGACTGATCTTAAAAATAAGTCAAATTAATTCAGAATAATAAGTTTGATTCCATAGAATCCATATAATACTATAGCGGCAGCCTATGTTAGAAAAATAAATTAGGCACATTAATCCAAAGTCCAAAGGACGGTTAGAGATTTTTACATGATTTTTAGATGAATCAGTTTGCTTCATGATAAAAATGGTCCAAGATCTGCATCTAAGACCTAACAGGAGGATCCATGGAAATTATGTAGGTGTTCAGTAAGAAAACTTTATTTTCATCTTGTATACTCAGAGTGTATATAACAACATTTCGATACATACAGCTTTTCAAAAGTGAGACAGAGCAGAGAACATTAGGGAACATTACCAGTTATAAAGTGCAGCAATGATCAGAATGTAAGGTGACTTTAACAAGGCATTTCTTTTCTTCAAATTAAAAACATCTTTCATTTCTATATTGATTTTATGGAATAAAGTAAATAAAAACGGGTCATAAGAAAGAAACATTTTGTTATTTCCTCCAGTGTGTTGGTTTGTTTTGCTCTTTACCACTAACAAAAGCTTGCCTTAAACATTTAAGTTTTCCTATTTATTTACAGTATCACACTTGAACCCCAGAGTTAAATATGATCAGATAAAAGGATTAAACTGGTCATTTATCTTGGTTTGCCTCCTTTAGTTATTTGATTTAAAAGTAATCTGATTAAATATATGAATTAAAACTGAGGGAGGAAAACATCAGAAGCACAAATTCAGAAACAAAACAATCGTCTAGAATCTGAACTGAGTGCAACTTATTCTGTCATTGATTGTTTTTGTAAAATGTTTAACCTAAATTCTGGCTTCAGCTGAAATCAGGCTGACCCCTGCTGGACCAACAGGTGAACTACAGACCTTTAGAAAACCTCCAACAATGTTTACCCTGAACTCACTAAAGACTAAATAACTGAGAAAACATCCAGAAAAAAACAGTTTCATTAAAAGGAATAAAAATTGGGAATCAAAACATTTCAAACTGTGTCAGTTCAGCTTTAAACATTTAAAACATTTAGACAGAGCTCACCTCTTTGCAGCTGAAGGTTGGTTTGATTTAAAATCGATAAGGCGACCCTTTGACCTGTTGCTCTGTAAGGAAACACAGCTGGGTTCTGGTTCTGGTTTGAGGTTCTGTTGGATCCTGAAGGAAAAACCCTGAATTCAATCTTAGTCTAATAATGTATTTAAAGTTAAACAGTGAAGCCCAGAACTCTAAAGTGTCCCACAGTGGCTCTAGTGTGAAGTGGATCCAAATATTCCTGGTTTCACTGTAAGCCCTATATTAATGATGGATTAATAATTAGCTCTGATGATAATTAATAAGGGATGATGTTTGGGTTTGTTAGCNTCTTTTTCAGCTCCTTCTTTACAAAACTAACAATGTTTTCTTCCAGCAGCTGAACAGAACAATACATGAAGGACACATCAGACGGAAATCATGGAGCCAAACATCAGATCCATGTAGGACAGACTGACAGTCCCATGGAGAAGTAGTTGTAGTTCATGTACAGACCATAAATATGGAGTCCAGCTGGGTTTGATGCTGCTGGGTAGATGGACCACTGGGAACCTCTGAGTTCTGCTGGTCCACTCTGTGGAGGAACCAGGAAGCATTAACTCACATTCTGTAGAACAACAAACAGAAACAGGCCAAGGTCCTTCTGGGGTCCTGATCCAAAAGCTATAAATGGGGACACCTGTCACCAGAGTGGAAGCTCCTACCTGATCAGGGTTTGGAATTCTGATGCTCAGACTGATGTTAAACATAAGTGAAATTAATGAAAATTTATTCAGAATAACAAGTTTAAGATTCCATAGAATCCATAAAATACTATAGCAGCCTATGTTAGAAAAGTTAATCAAAAATTTAAAGGATGGTTGGAGATTTTTACATCCTTAAATTAATCAGTTTGCTTCATGATTAAAATGGTCACACATCTGCATCTGAGACCTAACAGGAGGATCTATTGGAAGAAATGATGCAGGTGTTCAGTAAGGAGACTTAGAAAAACTTTATTTTCATTTCGTATACTCAGAGTGTATACATACATTTTTTTCGATGTATACAGCTTTTCAACAGTGAGACAGAGCAGAGAACATTAGGGAACATTACCATTTATAAAGTGCAGCAATGATCAGAATGTAAGGTGGCTTTAAAAAGGCATTTCTCTGCTTCAAATGAAAAACATCTTTCATTTCTATATTGATTTTCTATATCGAATAAAGTAAATAAAAACTGGACATAAGAAAATAAAATGTAGTTATTTCCTCAAGTGAGTTGGTTTGTTTTGCTCTTTACCACCAGCAAAAGCTTGCCTTAAAACATTTGTGTTTTCCTATTTATTTACAGTATCACACTTGAACAGGAGAATTAACCATGACCAGATCAAAGGATCAAACTGGTCATTTATCCAGGTTGCCTCCTTTAGTTGTTTGATTTAAAAGTAATCTGATTCAACATATGAATTAAAACTGAGGGAGAAAAACATCAGAAGCACAAATTCAGAAACATAATAATCGTCTAGAGTATGAACTGAGTGTAATTTTTTTCTGTCATTGATTGTTTTTGTAAAATGTTTAACCTAAATTCTGGCTTCAGCTGAAATCAGGCTGACCCCTGCTGGGCCAACAGGTGAACTACAGACCTTTAGAAACACCTCCAACAATGTTTACCCTGAACTCACTAGAGACTGAATAATTGAAAAAACATCCAGGAAAGCAGTTTTTATTAAAAGGAATAAAAATTGGGAATAAAAACATTTCAAACTGTGTCAGTTCATTTTTAAACATTTAAAACATTTAGACAGAGCTCACCTCTTTGCAGCTGAAGGTTGGTCTGATTTAAAATCGATAAGGCGACCCATTGACCTGTCGCTCTTTAAGGAAACACAGCTGGGTTCTGGTTCTGGTTTGAGGTTCTGTTGGATCCTGAAGGAAAAACCCCGAATTCAATCTTAGTCTAACAATGTATTTAAAGTTAAACAGTGAAGCCCAGAACTCTAAAGTGTCCCACAGTGGCTCTAGTTTGAAGTGGATCCAAATATTCCTGGTTTCACTGTAA